AAAAACAGTGGAATAAACACTATCTTCCCCTACTCCTTGCATATGGGGGTATAAAACTAGTCCAACAATCTTTAAATCCATCTTCTTCTCAAGCCATAAATTCTTTTAGCAATGCATGTATCAAACAAAGCAAAGTTATTATTTTTCTCTAGCCCAATTATATTAATCATATTAATCTCTTATAAGTGTGGGCATAATTAATATACTTTTAAATAAGTTGCTCACAAGTAATGTCGTGGATTAATTTCTTGAACTCATAACACTATTTCTTGCTCAAATAGCTAATATGTAATCGTTTTGGTAATTCTCATGAATTTCCAATGAATTATATCAAAATAACATCATGCAAACATGCTTATATTATTATTATTATTATTATTGTTTCAATCTTGAGATTGCTCATTCACTTCTGGGAATGAGCTAATAGTCTAGTTGGGATCAAGGATCTCCACTTTTAACCCAAAGTTGGAATCAAGGATATCCACTCAAAGACCATATAATAATATATCGATTGTTCAAAGTATTTATTTATGTATTTATTTTCACTTTACATACATTGGTTTTGCTTACGGAGGATAATATAGCCAACAACATACCATAGAAACTATTGTTGGACATTTCTAAGTCATCATGTACATGTATGTTTTCATATTATACTTAAGAAAATAAAATTACTAGTAATACACTCCTTGTCTTATTATCCACTTCAAAGTAAATCATAAGTATCTCATATAATAGCGGTGTCATGGTTATTAACCATTATAATTAATTATCATATAAAAGAATCTGATGTCATATATAAAAAACATCATATAATAACTTAATCATGCTTATAAAACCATCTATTCCGCAAACAATATACTTGCTCGGTTTTATTTATCTAATTTTTTTTTTCAATCATTTCTCTCTCTCCAATCACATAATCATGAATGAAAGTAATAGGTTTAATAGAGTACTATAAGTATAATGCTACTTCATACATGGTAGAATTATAAACAAATCGAATAATTAACCACATCAGGTACATAAGATCATGAGAGCAATGCTAAGTAGCCATAAGTAGCCATCACGAGTCATTAGACATAGAATAAAATTGACACATAATGACATCCATAAAGGATTAATAATTGCAACAGTGTTGGGATATAGTTCATGATACATGTGTGTGAATTAAAGAATAATCAAGTACGAGCAACATAGGATACAAGTGTAGAGAATGTTTTATTGATGATTTCCTTCATAAAGCTTGAGAATATAAGTCAACGTCAATCTAGGGAGTAATGGTAGCATCAATATATGTACATCTAGTTTATAGGAGATAATTAAGGAGGATAATAAAAAGATATTATCACTAAGATTATGTCAATCCTATCATCAAAATCATGACATGATTTGAAAGATACCAAACAAATACAGTAAATAAATATTGTCTAATATGAGGCTAAAGGCAAGCGACACGGACTAATATATATATATAAACTATTTAATCTTAAACATGGATCCAATTAGATATAGTAGATGAAATTTGTGCTTAACTATATAATATACTCTGGCAAAACGAAACAACAAACATACATAGATTATGAGGAGGCGTAATGGTCATTATTATTAATTATGCAATTTGAATGGATGAAAACCATTGTCAGCATATAATATTGCCCAAATTAAATCTGATCCAAAATTTTATCTTCAAGGATACTATCACTCAAGAAATTATTATCAATCAAGAAATTATTCAGAAAAAATTAATTGATAAAATAATAAATCATATGTGGACCTTTGACTATCAGATCTAATACTCTAGGTAAACCATTCAATCGATTAATCATCAATAATCTAATTCTAAATTCTAATTGTGGCTTTGTAGACACCCATTTGTGTCTCCCCAAAACCAAACCCAGTGATGAGTGCCTTTCACGCCGAATCATAATCAAATGAAACGAAAGTGTGGAAAGGTCTAGTGTTGCGGAGAGTTTTATTTCTTTTCTTTTCTCTTCTCTCTGTTTTTGAAAACTTTATTTTAAGAAAACAACCAATCCAGTTTGGTTGGTCCATGATATGGGTCCAATAGTGGTATAGTTAGATGGGGCTTGCAAAGACCTTTCCAACGATATATTATAAGCCCAATTCCGATGAATATTGAGGAATTTATGGCCAATTTACTAAACTGGGCCCGGTTTGAGTTTTAAGTACAGCCCAATGATCTAAGGGAGGGCCTAATATGATTTATCATTCCTAATGTAATTAGGAATGGTTTTGGTCTTCTAGAACATTCTATAAGGTTCTTATCATTCTTAATTCAATTAGGATTCTTTAGAGTTTTCATTAGATCAAATAGGATTTTCGACTGAAATTATATTATTTTATCTTCCAGTACGGTAAAATTATCATATTTTCGAAAACGTGTTAAAAGCCGGTTTGGCGTCCAACCCCAGGCCTTGGCGCCTGGAACCAGGATTGGCGCCAGACGCCAGCCATTGGAGCCTGGCGCTAGCCACTGGTCCTGGCGCCAATGAGCCAGGGCTGGCGCCAAGTTGTTTTTGCGATCTTCAGACTCTGTTTTGATAAATTATCTTTTTTGGCTGATTTTCTCTATAAATATCGTATCAAAAACTCCGTTTTGAGGGATGGATTATCATTTATCATTCACCACTTCTTTTATTCTTAAGTTTTAATAAATTTCGTTTTCATTCATCATCTACAATCTTCAATCGTCAACAAATTAGTTTATGAATCATTAATCTTTCATTCATTCTTTCTAAACTTTATTCTTTAACACAAAATTCCGCATTCACAAGATCTTGATACAACTAGCCATATTCGAAGTTGTCTTCGCCCTAGACGTGAAAGGTTTTAATTTCTGAGGGTTTGGTCCCAAATCTCTATTTCAATTATTTAATTTAATTGCTTTGTTTATTACTTTCCTTAAAGTTACTAACGTGTGTATTTTGTAATTAGAAAGAGGTACGAGGCATCCAAGTAAGTACTTAATTGATTTTATGATGTAGACATCATGTTTATATTGTTATTATGATATTCTTAGTATCATGTCTAGGGTGTTTTTAATATTAAGCGTGATTAAAAATATGATGCTTCCTATGTTCTTTCTAACATTTATGATTATGATTGATGATGATTATTTATTATGATGCTTGATATATATTATATATTGTTATTGCTTGATCACCTTTTATTGCAGGTTAAAGGGAATTGGTTTTTGCAATCACGCTTAATAAGATATTAATAATCTTGTTAGGTTAATTGTGATTTAAATTCAAGTGATCGCCAATAATAGATTTATTTGTGTATTAAATTCAACCAACATAGATTAAACAGGTTTAGGTTTAATCCTATTGATTGCATGTTAGTCAGAAAGCGCACATGAATACGAGCAGAATAAAGTAGAGGCATATTATTAGGGCAGGTTCAATCTCTTTTAGGTTGGATTTGTACCTTCATCCCCGAACCCTTATTTGGTTCATGACCTTATGGAGTTGACGATCTCTTGGATCGTTAAGGGGTGTAACCTTCACCTCGTGAACGGTTTACAAGTTCCTTAAAAACTTGTTGGCGACTCTTTTGCTCTATCTTCTTCCCTTTTGGACGCCACCGTACTTTAGTGTATGATCACAGTGGGATTCAAGCTAGTGGGATTTTTAAGGCTTGAAATTATTCCCTACAGGCTTACATACAAAAGGTGTATAACTACTAGAGTATGATCTTAGCATGTCGTCAAAAACAGAAATAAGCGTACCTTTGGCAGCATTAATATTTGCGGTTAATCAATCAAACGAGTCCATCGTATTGAATTTTACGGTTACTTTGATTGCTAATATCGAGATTAACAATCTAAGACTTCCCTTGATATAATGCTCATTTGGTTAGATTTGGTGCTGATAACGTATTGTAAAATAAAGGGAACAAGAGAAGAATTGAGGAGAGAATAAATCTGTGTATCTTATTCCATATGATAAGGTGTATATATACATACAATATATTAGGGTTTGATTGGATAACCCTAGATCTAGATTGTTCCGTAATGATACAAAAGAGGATAATGGATATCCACAAATATTTCATAACAAAATATTATTTATGTTGAGTTCACTAGTTGAGAGAAAATGAATTAAATATTGCAAAAGCTTTACCAATAAGGAAATAGATAAAGTATTTAAAAACGGCCGAAAATAAAAAGTGGAGCAAGTATTTAAAAACGGAGAGAGTACTATAAAGGCTAATATGATTAATCTAATACATTATAAATTTTTGTAAGTTAAAAGATATCATTAGAAAAATAATAACTTTTGTAATATAAAGAGTAACTTTAAATACTTTAAGATAATTTTAACCCGTCTTACAATAAATTAACGTATACCCGCCTTTTTGGACAATTTGTTTATGATAAACATAATTGTGTATGGCGTTGTTAGAGTTATCACAGCGTATGTTTTTTTTTAAATACGGAGTATATTTTATATTTTTTTTTATTGTAGATCATAGTTTTGCACTTTGCGTTGACAAGTGTGCTGTTTAAATTGACTTTTAGAGATGTTCAAAAACCGATTTGGATAGGGAAAATGGACGCACTAGACCAAAGAAACTAGTCCGATAATCTCCAGGGCGAGTAATTTAAGAAAACCGGTCTTTGGTCCGGTATAAGTTCTGATGATGTCACACCACTCATGTCCTCCAATAAAATAATATGAAGATCCTTCCAGATCTCCTCAAAGATTGTAAGCTTTTGTTCTTAAAAAGCAACCCCAAATTAAAGTCAGCAAACTAATTTGTCGTGCAATTCATTTCTCATTAACAATGAGTAACATAAACAGTAACCTCATGTTATTTTAGGGTTCTTGCTATTTCGTTTAAATTCTTTTGTTCTTTTATGGTTCATGTTATTTTGTTTTAACCTTTATATTCATTGGTCTTGTTTGGTAATTAGTTGATAGCCAATTGTATTAACGAACTAATTTGAGTAGCTAGTTATATTAGTTGGTTTGATTAGCAGGTTGTGTAAAAAGTTAGGTAAATAATTGCTAATTAATAATTGTTTCAGTGTATATAATAACCAAATAACTAATTTCAAAAGTCTCTTATTATTATAAGTTTTTTCAATGATATATATGCTTTAATTAATCTTTGTTTTACTTGATTTGGACCTTTTCTTTTATGATGTTTTTTTTTTTTGACCGGTAAACTACGGAGAGGGGCCCCATCCTATCTCAAGAGTGGGGCTGTGAGGAGTCGAAACCCCCATCACATGGGGGGGAGATGGAGGGACCAACCATCCCTCCATCCCCTCACTCCTCAATTGATATCATGGTTTTGAAATATAATGGCTACTCAACTATTGTAGTTGGGTTCTTTTATGATGATACTAAGTGAACTATCAATGCATTTACAAGTATTAAGTACATATTAACTCAAGGAGTAATAAATACATGTCCATATTCAATAGTTATACCATCAAAAAGGAGGTGTCTACATAATAAATCATCAAAACTAACAACCTTGACAAGAAATGAAGAAATTGATTTCATAATAGATTAAGATAAATGACACAATAGAAAATTAGTATAGTACAAAAGCACTAGTAAAGTAATGCCAAAGCAATAACATCAAAACATAACCCACATATATGTGCATAACTGCATACATTGTTACCCGAACATGCCACAAAGAGTATTATTCAATCTAATTTAACCATACTTTCATCAATTTTGAATATAAGTTTAGAATGATGAAAACTGATTGATACCCATGTCAAACACGAACACCACTCGTGAGTCCAATTCAAATCGCTAGCTCTTACAAAGTACGTTGTGTATAAGATCATCGCTACACTAGGCAGGGAAGGGGTTGAACCCGCTATTAACCATTTTCTCAAGAGGCCAAAAGAGTGTTTGAGGAAGATTGTCCCAATCATACCAATCCCAACCATCACATTTCTCGGGCTCTAGATTTTGTGGAACTTGATCTGTATTTGTTAGGGACGAACGGAGGAAGATGGTGACATAATGTAAAGGCTTAGGCCCTTCAACAAAGAGGTTGTTGGTCACGGTTAGTAACTCTGTTGCTCCTATTTCTAACCCTATTTCTTCCTTCACTTCTCTTGCTGCACATTCCTCAAAGTTTTCTCCTGAAATTATCACATTAAAATTTCACTTTGATGAAGATAATTTGTTGCTCAATTTAAATACTACGTAGATAGCAATTTGAGCTACTTTATTTTAATTTGATGATCATGTATGATGTATTAAGAGATATTAGGTACAAATTTTACAATGAAAGGCATATTATGAGTACATTTTCTTTTGAGTAATCAGATTCACACAAAAGTAAGACCAAATTAATGAGACATCTTAAGTAGAAATATGGATTAATATAAGTAAGATGAAATAAGTAATTGTTGTAAGGAAATTTTGTCAATGATTATCAATTAAAGCACGTGTTTTGAAAATAGGTAGGCACGAGTATTAAAATTAATTTTTTTAAAAAATTTCACAAAGTTGTAAAAAGTTTATTTAGTACTACCACTAACAATTTCGGCTAGAATGTTCGGCATGTAAGTTTCACTTTTTACCTTTATACTATAAAATCACCATCTTAATTGATTAAATTATTCTTCATAAAAGTAAAAAGTGAGACTCAGATACCGGAGAATCTAGCCGAAATTGTTAGAGTGGTAGTGTTTATTAAAATTTTTACAACTTTATAATAGTTCTTTTAAAAAAAATAAAAAATTAAATAGGTATAGAGTAACTGTTTTTAAAACACGTGATTTAATTGGTAGTTGTTGATAAAATTTTGGAAAAATTGACAAAAATAATCCCAATTTTTGCCGATTCGCTCAAAATAATCCCAATTTTGGATTATCAATTAACCTATACTAAAAGCGAACCTAAGATGACATTGTCACGATAACATTAATAATTTTCCCTCCTTTTTTCACTTTCCTTTTTTTTTTTTTTTTTTTTTACCAAATTTTAATGACTTCCATTTTATAAGCTACAATAATACTTATTTCTATTTTGACAACATATCTAATCCAATCATACTCAATTAATATTTTTTTTTTAACATATATTCTATACTATTAATCTTTTAGTTACAAGTATACAAACATAGATTAAAAATAAGGTATTAAATATATCATTGTCCAAGATTATTATAATATTAAGGAGTATCGGTTTTTTCCTCCAAGCTCCAACATTAATCATTTGACATTAATCGTTATGCAATGTGATTATTAAAATTAAAATAAAAACCGCTACTACTCACTATACATACATTTTGAAAAAGTTGATTATGGAATACTAATTATCCTAAAGTAATATAAATCAACTAAATTTTCATTTAATGCCGATCAAAGTGTGTCAACAAAAATATAAAGACAAATGTATATTAGTTCGTATACGGGTACTAACCTTTTATTTTTTTTCCCTTTTTTTTTTTGAAGACATATATGGGTACTAACCTAAGCTTAGATTTTCGTTTTCTTATATAAAACTTAATAGCTTCTAAATTTCTATTAATAAATTATTTTTTTTAAAATTCAAAACAATAACCTTTACGCATTTGGTATAAATTAAATTCAAGTTATTTTGTCACAAATATTTTTTTTGGATAAATTGTTAAATTAACAACCATTCTTTATTTCCCTCAAAAATAAAAATAATAAATAAATAAATAAAAACCATTCTTTATAATTTTTGTTGTAAAGTTTAATTATAACCGTGCATGGCACGGGACTTATCCTAGTTTTTAAATAATCCCAACTTTAGGGGTTATACGCTTTAAACGATCCCAAGTGGCCGGTAACTTGATAAAGAGGTAATTTTATTTTATTTTTTGTTTAAGTGACATGTGGCACCACAGGTTGGTTGATATTTTTTTATTCATTTTTTCTTTAAAAAAAAATTGAAAACCACCGCCATCAACGGCCAGATACCGGCAGGCGGCAACCTTCTCCCACCGCCCAGCCATACCCCAGCCCTAACCGTCGCGCCAGACCGCCTCAACCCCGTGATGGCGCCGGCACTTCCCCCTTCCCTAACCCCTGAACCACCTAAACCACCACCGCAAAGCCACCTTACCAAAACCGCGAAAACACTTTAAATAACCCAGCCCCACCGATAAAAACCCCAAATCGGCCCTCCCCTAACCTCGGAACCCTAGCGCCGAGGGTTTTGAGGGTGGGGGAGGGTCGATTGGGGTGTTTTTGCTGTGGGGCTGGGTTATTTTAAGGGTTTAGGGGAGGAGGAGGAGGGAGGTTTTGGGAACCGACGCCGGCGTGACAGAGGTTGGCGGCAGTGGTTTGGGGCTTCGGAAGCAGCCGGCGGTGGTTTGGGGCTTCGGAAGCAGCCGGCGGTGGTGATTGGAAGGCGGTCGTGGGTGGGATGTTTTTTTTTTTAAAAAAAAAAATAGTTTTTTTTTTTATTTAAAATTTTCAACCTATCATGTGGTGTCACGTGTCTATGTAACCTGATATAACATGTTAGGTGAATAACTCCTTAAGTTGAGATTATTTAAAAATAATCTAAAGCTGAGATTATTTAAAAATAATCTAAAGTTGGGATTATTTTGAGCGAATCAACGAGATTATTTTTATCAATTTTTTCTAAAATTTTCTTATTGTGCCTATTATACTTGTGTTCTTTAATCAAATAATTTTTCAATGTAATCCCAAAAATTTATAGTCTCTCATAAATTTTTGCAACATTTCACTCCAAACTCATAAATTTCAATCTTAATATTGTAATTAATTTGAAATGGATTGAATACATATAATCCTACAATAATCACATCAATTGAAAATTAAAATGACAAGCATACTCTTTATTACATTAAATTAACAATTGACATGATTTCTCCACACTTGAAAATTTGAAATTTCTAATGACAATAAAATCACATAGTATAATGAATCAATTCTGGTAGCACAACATTGACGAACAACAACTATATAATAAAATATAAAAAGTGAAAAACAAAAAAGCAGAAATGCAATATATAAGAGAGAAGAAGACGGAGAAATAGAGACAGACCGAACTCAAGATTACCGCCGGGAAGAGCAAAGGTGGAGTTGCCAACGGCAGAGCGACGGCGTCCCAGCAGCACCTTCTTTCCATTTAGTAAGAATACAACCACCGCCACTTTTGGTTTCGCCGCCTCTTTATCGGTTGTTGCTACGCTGCTACTCGCTTTGCTCATTTATTTTCCGATGATCTTTCACGGTCAGTGTTGGTTTTTGGAGTGTAAATTTGGGCAAAGATGTTCTGTGTTGTTGATGAGTACAGAGTACTTGTATTTGTAAACTTGAAACTTCCTTTTTTTTTTTTTTTTTTTTTTTTTTTTTTTTTTTTTTAAGTACTTGTTTGACAAGGCATTAATGGTTTGACCTTGTACTAGTAATTTTTTTACTTCGAACTAACTAAAGTGAGAAATAATGATAGCTTATTTTAATCGTCCAAACTACTTGTTTAATACAGAGAAGGTTAATTTGTGAACAACTACTTGTTAAATTTTTTTTTTTTTAAAAAACTAGCTCCTAAATTAAAAAAAGTTTGGGTAGCAATTCTATTGTTCATTGAATAAATTTTGGTGAGTGGGGTCCATTTGTTATTTTGATGCTTTTTTTTCAAATTATCAAATGAAAAGTAAAAACTATCCTTAGGTTAGTTGAGTGTGTGGTACACTCGAATGTATATAACAAATTCCACCAAAAAAAATCATCACCCTAGTATATATATTAACCAACCTCATCTTCTTTGCAAAAACTCAACCCAAGGGTGGGGATGTTTTTTTTTTTAGGAAAAAAAAAATAAAAATGGATCCCACTCACTGGAATAATTTGTCGGAAATGAAAAGAGCAGTGCTACTCAAAATTTTTAGATATGAATGGTAGTTTTTTTTTATATATATAAAACTTTTTAATGAATAGTTGTTTACAAATTGACAGGTTAAGCGAGTAGTTTCGGACAATTTTACCCAAAATGGAATCGGATTGGACTTAACTTTTCAAAACTAAATAAAAATTATCAAACTTTAATATGTAGCTAGCCACACCGTATGACCAGACATTTTTTTTTTTGGAAGAAATGGTCGGGCTTACTTGGTCAAGGGTTATTCAATCGGTCAATCAAGGGTTATTCACTCGGTCAATCAAGGATACTTGGTTAGGGTTTACTCACTTAGTCAGTTGAGGGTTACTTAGTAAGGGGTTGCTCAATCCATCAAGGGTTACTCGGTCAGGATTGCTCAATCCATCAGAGGTTACTCGGTTAGGGGTTACCCGATCAGTGAAAGGTTATTTGATCAGGAGTTACTCGTATGTTAGCTGACCACACACAAAAATGGCTGATAAAAACTTGAATCAAATTTCATTTAATCATATTTCAAACCGAACATTGAATAGATACCCTTATTATATGGCATTAATATCTTAGTACGTACTTTGGTTCTAATAATCTTCCAAAAATCTAGAGATGTTTGGCAAAAAAAAGAGCCCCTACTAGACGACAAGGGTGTGAAACTTAGGGTTGTGCACAATAGGTTAACCGTACCGTTTAGCCTTAACGGTACGGTTAACCGTTATGTCGGTTACTTAAAATTTCGAACCGTAACCGTACCGTTAAGGAACGGTTAACCGCTGCGGTTAACCGTTCCTTAACGGTACGGTTACAGGTTAACCATTAACCGTTTAATAAATTTTAAACCCTGCATTACTTCCAATAGTTCCAAACATCCAACTCTAATACAAACTTAAAAATAAAGTAATAAACAATAAAATTCATGTTCTAATTAAGATTACAAATCCATAAACCAAATACATTACAAAGTTTTAATTCGTACTAAGTTTTTTTAATTCGTACCCAATTTCCCCAAATTGATTTGTACACTAATTCAAAAAAAATATATATTTATTTATTTTAACGGTTAACCGAAAACTTGTAACCGTAACCGTTAACCGCTATATTTAGCGGTACGGTTAACCGTAACCGTTTAATTTAAACGGTTCGGTAAATTAACCGTTTAAATGAGCCGGTTACACCGGTTAACGATTACGGTAAACGGTTACGGTTTTTTTGCACACCCCTAGTGAAACTTGATTGATTGTGAATTTGCGGTTCATCGGGCAGGGACAACAATCAAGAGACTTGTGGGACTGAAGTAGGGACTAAGGGAAACATTTAATGGCCATGGTGGCTACCAAAAAGGAGAAGGAGAAGGAGAAGGAAAAGGAGTTCTTAAACCTTTTCTCTCATTTTTTAAATTTAATGTTACTTGTGAATTTTGTCTATCATGAATATGATTTAAGTAATACGTTGTATATATTCAAAAAATTCAAATAGTTTTGGTCTTGCAACATCATAAAATGTAGGAATGCCATATAAAATCCTAAATAGTTTTGCCATCAAAATGGCTAATTAATCAACTTTCATATTTATAAACATCCAAAATAACATAACTCAAACATACATACATTTATACATATCATGCATTCTAAAATTTAATATCATTTCCCAATCACATAAACATCCACAATTAAAAGGACAAATAATATACATCGATACATACTAGGTACATATCATACATTATATGATCCCTAATTTTAATACAGCTCCACAGTCCCCAATCACGTCTCAACAATGACACGCCTCATCATGTCACAAATTAACTTAGTCCCATGCCATCTTTTTCAAAACCTGGATTCCATTTGATTAGAAACAATGTCACTCCTCATTATGTCTTAAATTGACTCGGTCTAATGTCATCTTTACCTGAACCTTACAACGGATTCCAAATAGATTCCGTTATTTCGTGGCATTAATAGCCTAACCGTACTTATTTTGTTTTAATATAATCTTCCAAAAATCTTGAGATGTTTGGCAAAAAAAAAGTGCCCCGACTAGACAACAAGAGTGTGGAACTTGATTGGTCGTATCGCCTAGGTACGATAATTAAGAGACCTGCGATGTTGAGGCATGAGGCAAGGACTTAGGGAAACATCTAATGGTCGTGGTGGCTACTAAAAAGGGGAAGGAAAAGGAGTTCTTAAAGCTTCTCGCACATTTTTGCTTAAAATTTAATGATATTTACTCCCTCAATTCCTAAATTACATTCCTACTTCTAGTATTTATTCCTCACATAATAGAAAGAATTAAAAATGCAATTTAGGGATGGAGGGAGTATAATTTAAGACTTTAAGTAATATGAATTGATAAATTTCAAATAATTTTAGAGCTTGTTCTTTTTGAATGAACTCAGCTGAACTGAACTGAGTTGAGCTGAGCTGAACTGAACTGAAATGAATTGAACTGAACTAAAATGAATATTTTATAAGAGAAGGAAATTAGGAACTGAACTGAACTGAAATGAGCTAAACTGAACTGAACTGAATTTCAACATAAGAGAACAGACCTTTAGTCTTGCAACATAACAAAATTATGAGGATTATAGCTTTCTAGGGATGCCATATAAAAACCTCAATAAATTCTGCAACCTTCATGGATGTAAACATCCAAATAATATGACTCAAGCATGTCATTTTATTTTGGGTTTGGTTTGTTCTATGGTTAACAAAGGACAAATGTGGTACATTGATACATATAGGCCTTGTTTGGCAGTTGGCTGTTGATTGTCAGCTGGTTTGACTGGCTGTGTGTATTAGCTTTTTTGTTGGCTATTTGATTTTTTATTAGTCTAAAAACATGTTTGGTAAAATTGACTACTGGATGTTATTAGTAACTTAAGTAGCCAAAAGCTATTTCAAGTAACTTTTTTATTTTGGCTTAAACGCCAGCTTTATAGCTGGCTAAAATATCCATTTACCAAACACTAATTTTAAATATTTGACCAAATGAAAAAGCCAAAAGCCAATGAAAAACCATTTACCAAACAAGCCGATTATGTGTTCTAAAATTTTAATACCACTCTACAATCATGTCTCATAAATCATAACCCAACACACACAATGACATTATGACACTCCTCACCGTGTCCTAAATTAATACGGTTCAATGCCATCTTTACCCTACCCCACAACAGATTCCACTTGATTAGAAAAGCATATTCATGAATATACCAAAAAACTTCAATTTCCAAGTAAATCCAAAAAGTTAAGTTAAAGTTTTACACCAATGGCAAAAACACACATAACACATGCACCCCTTTCCTTCCTCCTCCTCCTTTAACACAAACACAGAAATAATAAGTGATCCTCCTTTTATTTCTCCCTGCCTTTTGACTCTTTCTCTCTCCTCCTCTTTTCACTCCTCACTCTCCACTCTCTCCTTCTTCTCCTTCTTCAACCCGTGAATTCTCATCTTCTCTCTCCTCCATTTTCATCTTCTCTCTTTTTCTCTCTGTTTTTTGTTTGATTGATTGTCGAAAATGGATACTACTGATGACATAGCTGAAGATATTTCGTTTCAGAGCTTTGAAGATGATTGCAGAATTCTTCGTAGTCTTTTCAGCGATGTTCTTCTTCGAGAAGTTGGTCCTGATTTTGTTCATAAACTTGAACGTGTTCGTGTTCTTGCTGAGGTGAGATTTTTTTGAGTTTTGTATTTTTTTGCGTTAATTTTGATTTTGTTCATAAACTTGAACGTGTTCGTGTTCTTGCTGAGGTTCGATTTTACTCAGTTTTTGAATTTTTTTTATTTTATTATTTTTTTTGGCGTTAATTTTGATTTTTGTTCTTGAATTAATGTTTGTATTATTTCAAGAATTCAGAAAATAAGCTGATTCTGGTTATTATTACCAGAAAAATGATTTATAGAAGTTTGATAAATGATGAATTTGGAAAATTTATGGTAATTTGAAGTTGTCATGCATTTAATATTGTATAATTTTAATTTCCTGTTTATTTGATATGTGAACATCTTGATTTTTAATGGAAACTCAGTGCTGAACATGATCGGATTTCGGAATCTAGAATTTATGATACTCAGTCAAATTGTTGATGATTGTCGATTTTTTTGTTTTTCTCATTTGGAATCTTGGATTCTTGGTACCATTCGAAAGAATCTTCTAAATTACTCTCAATATATAAACCATAACATATTCTCATACTCTCATGTCATTAAATCTTATTTAATTCATCTCAATGAGTACTTAATTAATATCCAACACGTATATTATTATTTCTATATTAATCTTGGATTCAAAGCATTTCGATATTTATGATCAAAGTTAGTAAACGTGCACAATCAAAATGGGAAGAACATTTAGAGGATGCCCCAATTTCTAATGGTGAAAAATACATGGCATCAACAACTTTATTTAATTGTGTAGCCCACAATAATGAAAAAGTTGATTTATTCACGAAAATACTACCATGATAAACAAATAAACAGAGAATTTCCCGAACATTTAGGATTGGAGGGAGTAAATAATTTCGTATTATCCAAGATTATACGAAGATTAAAGGCTAATGTGCGTTGTTAATTTGTTACTATTGTTTGGATGCATGTCTCATGTCTAGACAATTTATTAGATCCTTCATCAATGGGACCACCAAGGGCATGTACATGCTGAAAATTTTGGACTATAATAGTGATTATATGGACCATATGGTGTTTATAATTAGATACTGTCACTTTTTAAGGAATCTGTAGTGTTGTGGCCTTGTGGGGAA